TATGCAATCACACAGTTTAAAAAAAAAAATTGAATGCATCTAGGTGTCTAAAATAATTGGTGATCTCTTAATTGGAGCCAGCAGGCTACTGCCTGGTCACCCACTGGCAGACACAACAAACATCCCAGGGGAGATTCTGTTTGAGTTCCCTGGGATCAGTGCTCTCAGCTGGCAGCCATTCTAATTCCACAAAGAAAATCTGATTAAAGCTCCCTGGGAAGCACCAGCCACAACCTGCTCCTTTAATCTCAGTGGGGGAGGAAGGGGAGGAAGTGCAAGCTCTAAAGTTTCAACCCCCCTGCCAAAACTCCCTCTTTGGATCAGCATCCCCAAGACCCAGCATCCCCCTGCAGGTGCACTGAGCTTTGGAGATGAAAGGACTGCAAAGTGCAGACAGCAGTCCAGGATTTAGGGTGACAGCATGTCAGGGTTCCCGCCCCACTCTGAACTCTGGGGTACAGATGTGGGGACCTGCATGAAAGACCCCCTAAACTTATTTCTACCAGCTTAGGTTAAAAACTTCCCCAAGGCACAAATTTCTTTGCTTGTCCTTGGACGGTATTGCTGCCACCACCAAGTGATTTAGACAAAAATGCAGGAAAGGGCCACTTGGAGTCCCTAGTCCTGCAAAATATCCCCCCAAGCCCCTTCAGCCCCTTTCCTGGGGAGGCTTGGGAATAATATACCAACCAGTTGGTTACAATGTGAGCACAGACCAAACCCTTTAGCTTTTAGGACACTGAAAATCAATCAGGTTCTTAAAAGAAGAACTTTATTATAAAGAAAAAAGTAAAAGAATCACACCTGCAAAATCAGGATGGAAGGTAACTTTACAGGGTAATAAAAAGATGTAAAACACAGAGGATTCCCCTCTGGGCTCTGTTTCACAGTTACAAAGAACAGGAATAAGCACAGGCTGTGTGAGTCAATCCGGGAGATAAAGAGCTAGAGAGATCCACAGGGTCTTTCTGTGTCCAGTGGCCTCAGTGAGGGATCTCCTCTGTCTTCATCACACCCAAGTTCTGCCTCTTCTCTACCCCACAGGATGCTACCACACTAAACAACATCAGGGGAAGCTGCTGCCCCCTGAAATTGGGCAGGTCAAGCTCTTGAGGAGTCTGGGGAGATGCTCCCTGGGAGCTGGCTAGCAATTTTTGATCCCCCATCCCTTATTTCATATTTGTGGGATTAGTTTTTTATGGAAGGAAACAGTCCATAAACCAGACAACAAGGACAATGTCTCATGGCTTGTGTATATTCCCAAATACCCACCCTCATTGGTAAGACTACTCGTGACAAAAACAATGCCCTTATTTTTAATAGCGCTCCCCTCTCACCTAAGCACTTGTGTGTTTGTAGTTCCTCCCCTGCTTTCCATAGCCTGATCCTCTCAGATTAGATTTTTGTGAGCCTTTACTCCAAGCTGACCCAGTAGAGAGGGCTCGGCTGCTCCCCAGGCCTTCCCTGGTGCATGGGAGGTGCACTGTGCTGCTGCAGGTGGTTCTGCAAGCAGTGCATGGTCAGAAGCAAAACAGGACCAGGACCAGGTTGTGGGCTTGCCTCCTGGCCACATGAAAAAACCCAGGGCACAGAGAGCATACAAGGTTAGGGGTCTATTTCAGGAGTGGGTGAGCTTCTGTGGCCTGCGATGTGCAGGAGGCCAGACTAGATGATCATGATGGTCCTTCTGGCCTTAAAGTCTTTGAATCTGAGAAAGAGAAAGCAGGGCAGTGTCACTTTAGAGAGTACCCCTTGCAGTTCAGGCACAGAGACCGTAGCTCCAGGGAATGCCACTATGGAGACACCCAGGGATGCTGTCTGCACAGTGGCCTGTTGCTTCTGGACATCAGTTTATATGTCTGCAGGTGCTAGCTGGGGTGGTTAAGCTTGGCACAGAGAATTACACAACCCCTATGCTATCTGGATAGAGAGGGGTCTTGGCATTGGTGTCTCCCTGCAAAGAAAGTCTTGAAAATGCGACCCAAGTGTGCATAATTCCTGCCTGAGTCTGCCCACGGCCTGAAGTAATGTCTCCAAGAGGTGTGAACTTCCCCATTCATCTTATTCACCAGGAAACCTTCTGCCATCACAAGGCAGGGCAGATAACAGTACAGGGAAGGGTCTTAAGATGAGGGTACAGCCATGGTGCCACCATATGGGGTGTGCCTGGTGCCCCACATCATCTTAATTTAGCCCTGTGAGCAGCACGGTTTTGGGTGGGAATGGAGAACAGGCAGCAGAAACAGGATCTTATGCTGCTTTGCTGCAGCACACTGTGGGGTGCATCTTGTTTCCCGTCCTGTCTTCAGGCCTAATGGGTGGAGAGCCTGGAGATGAACCATGCAGACAGTTCTCCACCAGCCCCTGAAGTAAACCTTCTGGAAGGGGCTGGTACAGGAGCTGTCTGCCCAAGTCTACAGCTCGACGGCTTGAAACACTAGCACAGAGAGATGCATAAGCTGCCCCATTCATCTCAAAGGGCATCACCTCCGAAGCTTAACAATGACCACGTGAACCACTGAATGTCAACATTGCTGGCTTCTCTGCTGGTGATTTTGGCAGAAACATCCAGCTGCTCCGGGACTGTGGCCAGTTCAGGTTGAATAGAGGCCACCGCTTTCTTCTGTCACTTTGACCCCTGCAAGTAAGGAGCACTGGACAAGAAGGAGAGAGAGAGAGACTGCGGATGAGCCTAAGTGCAAAATGGGGGAAGCAGAAGCAAACGAAACAAAGTGCAGACATCACCGCCGTTGAAAGGGACCCGAATGCAGCATCTTGGCTGCCACTTGTTGAGTGTACGGTGTCATTGAATCCCGTGCTCAGCTGCGGGAAAGCAGCCCTGTAATTGTGCATTGTGATGGTGAAGGAGGATAGAAAGGCAGCTGATCCCGGTTGGGTCAGTATTGCCCAAACGCTCACAGACAGGCCATTGTTCCCGCCGCTGGGACAAAGAGCCCCGTTCTTGCCTTACCGCAGTCAAGTTGTTCATTGACATGCTGTCACGGCACATTGCCAAAGAATAAATCAATTACAGATCAGATGACATGGCCTTTCCCCTCCTGCCCCCACCTCATCTCCTGCCCCCTTTGACGCACACTTGTACTGTGCTGGAAAGTCATGGATCCCAGCTCTGACCTCCCTGGAGAGTCTCAGGCTAAGGTATATCTTGTTATCGCGGAGTAAGGCTGCTCTGTGCTTGGAGCCCACTGTTACTAAAAGGGAGGTTGCAAACCCTGCACTGACACTATATCCCCTATAGGGGTTTCATGCGCCGAGCCCTGAGCATATAAAATGTTAATCCAGACAAGCTACAATTTCTTGTTTCTCTGCTTTCTCCTCTATGATCTCCTACATCAGCTCCCTAGACAAGTGGATTTACTTGCCCCTACCAGCAGGTGGCTATAAAGAAGGGGAGGGTGGGGGGCAATCACAGACTTCTGCTGATATGACCCCTTCTTCCCGCAGAAGACTTTTACAACGCTAAAGCATTGCTTCTGCCAGCCAGGGAGCCAGGGCTGCCGCTACTTATCAACTCCAGCTTAAAGTGCTCACCTTCCGAGATGGCATCAGAAGAGGCAGCTATGTCAAACCTCAGAAAGACGTGTGTGCGAATGAGTGTAGGGGAGACCCAGGTGGCCGCTCCAGCCCTCTGCTCTCTCTGCCCACAAAACGGCAACTGGCTGAAGTGCACATTCACCACTGCATGGGGGACTATGGGGACTCGTGGCTAAGCTGGCGTGTGTAATGTAAATGCCTTCTTCCAGCCAGAGAGAGGCCAGGCCCTTCCGTGGCCCCTGAGTCCGTCTTGGAAGTCCTCAAAGAGGACAAATAGGTGGCTCATCCTTCAGAGCCTCTCAGCATCAAGCTGCTTCTCCTCATTCTGGGCATCTGGGACTGACCACAGTGGATCTTGCTAAGTGGGCCCAGTTAAGGTGAAACAGAGATCCTGACCTGACCAGTGGGATGAAGGCTGATTCTAAGGGCTAAGCGGCCCTGTATCCCAGCTAGGGGAACTCCTGAAGGCCAATGCCTGAGTTTCCTCCCTACTTCGGGCAGCAGAACAGGCTATTTGGGAGGCAGTATACTCTTGTGGTTAGGGCACATGACTGAAAGTCAGGATTCAAGAGTCCTGGCTTGTTCTTTGGCCTTGGAAAAGTCACCTAACCTCTCATTGCCCCAGTTACCTCATCTGTATCAAGGGACACCTATTTCACGGGCAGTGTGTTGAAACTTATTTCAATAAATGCTCGTAAGAAGTGCTTTGAGATCCCCAGAGGAGAGGTGCCGTGCATTACTGTCATTATTTCAGAGTCTGCCATATCCCCATGGCACAAGTTTGGAGCCTGAAGTGAACACTGTACTGCAGGCGAGCCAGTCTCTACCTCTCTGGCACCACCTTCAAATCCTCTTTTGGCACATCTGCCAAAGGAGACGATCCAAAAGTGAGAGCGGCTGTCTTGCTGCAGGGGCGCCATAGCAACAGAGCCAGAATCCAGGGCCTGGCATGAGAGATCTTCATTTCCTTGTGGCTCACAGCTGAGGCTTCGCTTCCTGCATTGTGAACCCTGCTGGGACCCACTGTCAACACGCAAGTGTGAACCTGGAATTTTGGTCATTTGCCAACAGCTGAGTGGAATGTTTTTCTCAGGAAGCGGCAAGAAGCAGAAGAGGGGAGTAAATGTTACTGCCGCACTAGGGGGACCTTGTTGGGATCTGGTATTCAGACCAAACTTTGGAACCGGGCGATTTTGCTGCCTGATTGAGGTTGGCAGCTAACGAGCTCATCGTTGCACAATACAGTTACATGGAGAACATGGTCAATGTGTCAAAATTTGACTAATTAAAGGAACATTTACAGACCTAGTTTATATTATCCCAACCATTTCACAAGTACATTTGCTTTGTGCTTAGGGAAGGAAAGGAAACTGCACAGCTCTGATTCGTCTGAGGACAGACAGGATTGTTCCATCCACATTTGTCATATTCTTTAATTTGGCAGACTGATGGCGTGGAATTAAAGAGGAAGGAGGAATAGAAGAATTAAAACTATTTGTTACACTTAGCTGTATGATACAGATCTGCAAACACATATGCCCCCAAATGCACAGAGGGACCAAAGTATACATGCCCAGAAAGACTGCTCAGCAACGCATCTAGACGCATCTACACACACAAAGTTGCGTGCTCAGAGATGTATATGCAGCATGTATGCACAGACACATGTGCACACGGGCCCACCCATACAAGTCAGACTGACAGGCACACATGGCGCTCACTGTGATCTCAAAGAAGTCTTGGGTCTGTGGTTACTCCAGGGTGGAATATTATGAGTGCAGACCAGATTGTTAGGGGCAGCGCATTTCAGGACATTGCCAAGACTTCCTGGAAAGGGACAGCCCTTTTTAAAATATTTGAGAGCAGCGGAGGGACTGCCATGCTGGACTGGTCTGAGTGTGCCATTTGGGGGGTGGCATGTGTTTGGACGGGCCTAGAGCAGACATTGAGCCGAGGCTACCGTGGCCTTGAGCCCTGACCAGCACGTTGCTAACACCACACCCAAGAGATCTTCAATCAAGACAAATCACCATCAGTGCTGATTTCCCCTCTGAAATTCACCCAGACCCATCCCTGGACCCTGCATCTCCATGCCCCAGTCCAGTCGGAGACGTTACGGCACCAATGCAAGAAATCTCCTGTCCCGAATAGAGCAGAAAGCTTAAGGGACGGAGGCAGGAAAGACCGCATTCCCCGGCTGCCAGCAGGAAACAGCTGCTGCTGACTTGACCACATCATACAGACCCAGGGCACCGAGCCCCAACTCTCTGTAGAGCTGCACTTTTCTTGGGCTGTGTCTGTGATGCCAGAAGACCCCACCCACTTTAAGTGTTGCAAGCACATGCATGCACATAGCAGGATGGCTCAACTTCTGCTCTGAAGCCTTTGCAGGAAAACCCGGCACCCTTGGCCCAATAGCTCCTTCTCTCCTCCCGGCCCCCACTATAACCCTTTGGGGCTTTGATCCCTGTCCTTTGAGTCACCAGACTGGGGAGGGGCAAGATGTAGGTGTACAGAGCGTGCTGTCCAAAAAGCAAGCCTAGGAGAACATTGAGAGAGGGAGGCAGAAAGGAGGGAGAGAAGGTATTTAGTGAAGCAATAACTCCTGCTCTGGAAATTCCCCAGGCATGTTTCTTTCACCCACCTCTGTTATGCTGGCAGGCTGGGCTGGCCAGCGCCTCATCAGAAGCTGTAATAACATGTCCTTTTGCATCCAGGAATGCACAGATGTGCCAACTGCAACTGGCGGTGCTGAAAGGATATGTTTCCTGGAGCAATCTGCCGTAGCCTGCAGAATTTACCGGTTCAGGAAGAGCATGAGAAGCCTCCACCTCTTGTTTACAGCTACTCTCCTTCTAGACATAGGTCTGAACCAAGCCAGAACTCCAGAAATAGTCAGACCAGGGTCTGTATTCTGCAGCACTGTCTGCGCTGGGCCAAACAAAAATCTGCAATCTGCCCCTCCCTGCCATATCATGGGGAGTTTGGATCTGGAGCCTGTCTGGGGTGGAGGATCATCTACAGCATCTTTGGGCTAAGTTAGCTGTCTGCAAGGAGCGCTGTAAACCTGGTTGTAATTTCAGTGTGGACAAGGGGTACAGGTATGGAGGAAAGGTATGTTTCATGGGGTGGTTACTGGGAGATGGGCGGGAGGAGATACAGGTATGGCCCAGAGAGGGTATTTATAGCAATGGGCTGGGCAGAGTTTACATAGCTCCAGGTCTTCTTCTTACTAGTGAAAAGGCGCAGGAAGGAAGAATTTACTTGCCTGGCTCCGTTCTGCTATATTGTCCCCTCTCAGAGGCTGTGGCAGTGAAGATCTGAGAAGGATCTTGGGCTGCAGATTGCACAGAGACCAAGAATCTGTGGGATTAACGAGGCTAAAGCCTATGGATCTTGCCCCCTCCATCTGCTAGAAGCCTGACTCCATGCATGCACCCTGGCCTGACAGAAATGCCTACCAGCTGCAGCACATACAAACCCACCTAGTCTGCCTAGCTAGGTACTGGCATGTCTAGCCCATGCTGACCTCCGTGCCACTCCAGCTTCACTGCTATTTTGAGCTGTGCTAACTGGATTAAAGCTAGTGCGGGTGTGCAATCCCCAGGCTGCAATCCCATCGCCAGCTGCAGTGTAGATGTACCCAGAGACAAGGCTGGGAACAGAACCCAGGAGTGTTAGCTCCCAGTCTTCTGTCCTAGCCTACGTGTCCTAGCCCTCCCCCGGCACCCCGAGCCAACCTAGGAATGGACTCCTACCTCCCAGTGCCCTCCTCTAGCCCATACCCACAAAATCAGTCCAAACAGCCATAACCTCTAGCATTAGGTATGACTAAAACCAGCTCTACACCTAAAACGTAGGTTGACCTAGCTGCATGGCTCAGGTTCTCACACCCCGGAGAGACATAGTTAAACTGACCTAAGCCCCACTATAGGCACTGTGAGGTCAGCAGAAGAGCTTTTCCGTTTGTGACCCTGGCAGACCAGGTGCCAGCTCATGCCAAAGCCACTGGGCCTCGCTGAACACTGACAAATGCAGAGCTGGAAACCAGTCTGGCTCACCTGTGCGTTAGTGTTGTTAAAACAGATATTAGCATTACAAGAATGTGTTTAGATTTTATGAAATGCTTGTAGGATGCTGCATGTATTGATCTTACGTCCAATACCTGGATCCCGTGGTATAAGGCAATGTGTAAGGGTTTGCTCTGCAACTATTAAAGTGTTTGCTAAGCCCCCAGCAAGGAGAGAAGCATTACCAAGTGTGAAATACTAGTTTACCACAAGAGGTGTCATCTCCACCCCAACAAAAGAAGGCCGACAGCCACCAGACAAACCACTATGGAACATCAGTGGACAAAAGACTTTGTGGATTGGTCGCCCCACACCTATGAAGCAGGGACCTGCACAAGCCCTCATCCCATCACAGCTTGAATGCTGGGGGACGGAAATAAAAATCCCTGATAAGGAGAAATTGTATCCCGATGCTGCTTGAACTCTGCGGGGTGAAGATTTCTAAGCATAAGCAAGGGGGCCCTAGAGGTTTAGCTTGGATTAGGCCTAAGGGACATATAAAGCTTGCCTATATACCAGCTACTATCATCTTTTGGAACCTAAGACTGTAACTCATTTGAGTGTGTATGTTTACCTGCTTTAACCTTGTAAATAACTCTCTTATTTCTTCTTCCTAGTTAATAAACCTTTAGTTAGTTTATTACAGGATTGTCTTTGGTGAGAGATCTAGGTTGCACTTGACCTGGGGTAAGTGATATGGAGGAAGATATTACCATATCTGAAGTAGAAGCGAAACACGAACAGCTTAACGGGACTAAATCGGGGGGCCCAGATAATCTTCATCCAAGAATATTAAAGGAATTGGCACATGAAATTGCAAGCCCATTAGCAAGAATTTTTAATGAATCTGTAAACTCAGAGATTGTACCGTATGACTGGAGAATTGCTAACATAGTTCCTATTTTTAAGAAAGGAAAAAAAGTGATCCGGGTAACTACAGGCCTGCTAGTTTGACATCTGTAGTATGCAAGGTCTTGGGAAAAAATTTTGAAGGAGAAAGTAGTTAAGGACATTGAGGTCAATGGTAATTGGGACAAAATAGAATCATAGAATCATAGAATATCAAGGTTGGAAGGGACCTCAGGAGGTCATCTAGTCCAACCCCCTGCTCAAAGCAGGACCAATCCCCAATTTTTGCCCCAGATCCCTAAATGGCCCCCTCAAGGATTGAACTCGCAACCCTGGGTTTAGCAGACAAATGCCAGATCATGCCAAACCAACATGATCTCCTTCTTTGAGAAAGTAATAGATTTTTTAGACAAAGGAAACACAGTGGATCTAATTTACCTAGATTTCAGTAAGGCGTTTGATACCGTGCCACATGGGGAATTATTAGTTAAATTGGAAAAGATGGGGATCAATATGAAAATTGAAAGGTGGATAAGGAATTGATTAACAGGGAGACTACAGCGGGTCCTACTGAAAGGTGAACTGTCAGGCTGGAGGGAGGTTACCAGTGGAGTTCCTCAGGGATCAGTTTTGGGACCAATCTTATTTATTACTGACCTTGACACAAAAAGTGGGAATGTGCTAATAAAGTTTGCGGATGATACAAAGTTGGGAGGTATTGCCAATTTAGAGAAGGACAGGGATATCCTACAGGAGGATCTGGATGACCTTGTAAACTGGAGTAATAGTAATAGGATGAAATTTAATAGTGAGAAGTGTAAGGTTATGCATTTAGGGATTAATAACAAGAATTTTAGTTATAAGCTGGGGACGCATCAATTGGAAGTAACAGAGGAGGAGAAGGACCTTGGAGTATTGGTTGATCATAGGATGACGATGAGCCGCCAATGTGATATGGCCGTGAAAAAAGCTAATGCGGTCTTGGGATGCATCAGGAGAGGTATTTCCAGTAGGGATAAGGAGGTTTTAGTACCGTTATACAAGGCACTGGTGAGACCTCACCTGGAATACTGTGTGCAGTTCTGGTCTCCCATGTTTAAGAAGGATGAATTCAAACTGGAACAGGTACAGAGAAGGGCTACTAGGATGATCCGAGGAATGGAAAACCTGTCTTATGAAAGGAGGCTCAAGGAGCTTGGCTTGTTTAGCCTAACCAAAAGAAGGCTGAGGGGAGATATGATTGCTCTCTATAAATATATCAGAGGGATAAATACCAGAGAGGGAGAGGAATTATTTAAGCTCAGTACTAATGTGGACACAAGAACAAATGGATATAAACTGGTCATTGGGAAGTTTAGACTTGAAATTAGACGAAGGTTTCTAACCATCAGAGGAGTGAAGTTCTGGAACAGCCTTCCAAGGAAAGCAGTGGGGGCAAAAGACCTATCTGGCTTTAAGATTAAACTCGATAAGTTTATGGAGGAGATGGTCTGAGGGGATAACATGATTTTGGTAATTAATTGATATTTAAATATTCATGGTAAATAGGCCCAATGGCCTGTGATGGGATATTAGATGGGGTGGGATCTGAGTTACTACAGAAAATAATTTTCTGTAGTATCTGGCTGGTGAATCTTGCCCATATGCTCAGGGTTTAGCTGATCGCCATATTTGGGGTCGGGAAGGAATTTTCCTCCAGGGCAGATTGGAAGAGGCCTTGGAGGTTTTTCACTTTCCTCTGTAGCATGGGGCACGGGTCACTTGCTTGAGGATTCTCTGCTACCTTGAAGTCTTTAAACCACGATTTGCGGACTTCAATAGCTCAGACATAGGTGAGAGGTTTTTCGCAGGAGTGGGAGGGTGAGATTCTGTGGCCTGCGTTGTGCAGGAGGTCAGACTAGATGATCATAATGGTCCCTTCTGACCTTAGTATCTATGAATCTATGACTGGTCCTTTGGGACTGGGAGTAACCCAAATATTAGTGTGCTTTTTGGTATAAGGGACTGTCTATCACAAAGGCAGGCTCGCCTAGGCGTCGAGACAGAGTGAACTGTCTCTGACTCCATGTTAATGCTGTTGTAGCCCTTGAGTTCACAGATGATACTTAGTTGGTGAAATCTAAGTAGAGAACTCACAACCAGTTTGGGGTCATGCCCTGTTTCTTAACAGTCTGCCTGGAGGTTGGCACTCATGGTCATGAGCCTCTCCAGACAGTGTGACACCGTTGACCTAGCTACCGCCTCTCAAGTGGGTGGATTTACTACAGTGATGGAAAAAAACCCTCCATCACTATCCCGGGTGTCTACACTACAGCCGCATAGCTGCAGCTGTGATGCTGTTGCGCCTATAGTCTAGACATAGCCTTAGTCCAAGCACAGGTTAACAGTCACAATAAAACCCACAGCTAAATTTACACTAGACCGCTCAAGGTGCCAACGCTACATATCAAAGCCCTGGGGACAGGCCATGCTGTAAACCTCAGAGTCCCCTTCATGTGCTTTTCTACTCCCTCAGTGTAAAGCTGTCAGTTCCTTTTCATGAATGCAAATCACAGCAGAAAGGACCATGCTGCAGACTGACCGTGTTCCAGCTACAGCAGGAGAACAAAGCCCAGCTAGACAGACAGTGCCCAGATTGGATTATTACCTAACCCATTTATAAACACTGCGACAAGGCCGTCTGGGTGTCTCTCTGCACGTTCTATGTCTCTAGCACGGCTGAAAGTCTTCCTGTATTGACAGCCCTGAAGATTAGCAACCTGCCCTTAGCCACAGAAAGGGGACAGAATGGGCAGTAGCAGGGCAATCTCCCCATACACACCACCCCCGCCGGCAAGCCTCCCCGGAGGGGATCCCCTGTTGGGCGAGGGGGAGCTCACTCTCCACAGCCCTTGTCAGTCCTGGGTTGGAGAGCCGATTCCTGGGGGGCGATTGGTTGTAGGGTATTTTTGTGATGTGGATCCCTGGCCACTGGGTATTGAACTGAGTTTATTTCGTTCAATCCAGTGAAACAGGCTATTGTCACCGTGCCATCGGGTAATGAGAAATGTGCCAGGGCACTGAGTCAGTCCCCAATCTCCTCTACTAACTGGAGTGACAGAAGGTGCGCTTCGTCCCAAGAGAGAGCAAAGACCATTGAGCCTGCCCATCTGGCAGCATTTATTTTTAATCCTCGCTGGTCCAGGGGTGTATCCGTGCCTTATTCGCTGCCCAGGAGCCTCCCTGGCCCCTGGCACTAGTCAGCTTTTTTTCATCTGGAAAGAAGAAAAAAAAAAGATGAAAAAGGGCTATTTTATGGAAATGATTTTTTTTTTCGTAGAAAATCATCATTTCGGCCCACATTTTCCAAGATTTTGACAAAAAATAAACAAATTTTATCAGTTTTTCCAACAACAACCACCCAAAAAATTGCCATGAAAATGTTTGGGGGGAATAAAATCTCCACACATTAAAAAAAAAAAAATTTCTTATAGATATTTTCAAGGAAAATAATTACCATTTTCCAACCATGCTCTGAGGCCCCATATCTGCTCTGACTTTCACCACCGTCAATTCAGTGTGAATTGATTGACCTCAGTGGATTTACTCCAGAGTTATATGATGGTAATTACAAACAGAATTTGTCCCAAACTGAGGCAGGGACCTAGGGCTGTGTCGACAGGCCTCGGTGCCAGCAGAGAAGCTGTTTACATATGCAGATTCCCACGGGGACTTATTTACAGTGTGCTTCCAAGAGCCATCCATCTAGCTCTACAGCTCTGGAGACCATTCATATCCACCTCCCCAGACCAGTAATTAACAAATTATGGAGGAATAACGCAGAGGATAATACTGAGGTTTCAAAACAAGGGCCTCTGATCTTGAGCTGAACTAGGGTGACCAGGCAGCAAATGTGAAAAATCAGGACAGGGCTGGGGGGAATAGGTGCCTATATAAGAAAAAGACCCAAAAATAAGGACTGTCCCTATAAAATCGGGACATCTGGTCATCCTAAGCTGAACAAACAATTCCCCTTGTCTATGTCAGCTAATCCTCCACTTTGATTTCTACCACAGGGGCCGATTGCTCTAGTAACGACACCCACACTGCTGAATTGTCCATCCGCTTGCCAGCAGCAGCTCCCCAATGCTTGCTGCCCTGCCCCCTCAGTCAAGTCACAGTGAAAGTGCCTTTGGCAAGCAGTAAACACAGAGAGAATTCAGAGGTGGGTCTCCCGGCTCCGATCTCAATAACCTCACAATTAATCCTTATATACACACAATGATACGTCCCCGTGGTGGGAACATGTGATCGGAAGGAAGGGCGCTGGCCGTCAGGGCAGCTGACTGGAGCTCAGTTGCGTCATGTGATAACAATGCTTAAAACACCACAGGAGCCAGAACTGGGTTTTCTCACAGTGGGAAAGGGCCTGTGGATAGAGGCGGGTTAGCTGCATTTATCAGTACATGTTTTTCAGGCTTCTTCATGAGTCGCCCATGCAACTGCTGCCCATGCAAGCAGCACACAGGGATCTCACGATATACCCGCTGTAGGGGCGTGCTGTCTGGAGTGCACTCTAGTACTAGTTCTAATGACAGTACTTCTTAGTACAGGAAACGCCTCACCCAGAATCCTGGGAGTGCAGCTGGGCGCATCCGTACACCGAAAGCGTAAAGCCCAGTGGATAGTTAGCAGCAAACATCAAACTCTTGAGTCTTTCTCTATACAAACAAAATCGCACCCGTAGCCAATATGTATCACTCCATGCAGCCCCACTCCACCCCCATGGCTCCATTCACAAATGATAAAATCTCGCTGAAAAGCCCTCTCAGCGGGGCCCTTAGTTTTGGGGCATTCTTGCATAGCTGAGTTCGCCAGAGCCCGTGTGCCACTCCAGCATCTGCAGCGGCCAGTGTTTCATAAGATCCCTGATGTTGGGAGGGCAAAGTCCTTTTGAGTGGGGCACTGGCTCTTTCTTCCTTCGCTGATAGCAAGAGATCAGCGGGAGCAAAACTTGGCAACCATCCAGGAGCCAGCAGGAGGCCAGAACAGCAAGGCTCTGCGCCTGTGAGGCATGGCATTGTTGCAAGTACAGTGCACTGTTCACAATGAGATGAAGACATTCATAATCAGCTGTAACGATGCTTGTTCTGGCAGGGCCCAACTGAGAGTGCCAATTCAGGACAAATTGCTTAAAGCAGGGCAGTTACAGCCCAAGGCTGGGGTTCCTTTACCATTAAGGCAAACCAAACCAGCCAAACAGAGAGGACTTTGGTTTTACCCCACTGGCTAACCACAAGTCACACAAGCAATTCCCTTAGACACTCCAGTTTCCCAGTATCACCACCAGTGCCACTCATTATAGGGACAAATGGTTATGAAAACCAATGTCCCAGTAAAAGAAAAAGGATTCTCCCCATCCCAAAGGACCAAGCCCCAGACCCAGGTCAATATACAAGTTAGATCTTACCCACAAATCATGCTGTTGCCAATCCTTTAGAATCTAAAATCTAAACGTTTATTCATAAAAGGGAAAAGATAGAGATGAGAGCTAGAATTGGTTGAATGGAATGAATTACATACAGTAATGGCAAAGGTCTTGGTTCAGGTTTGCAGCAGTGATGGAATAAATTGCAGGTTCAAATCAGGTCTCTGGAGTACATCCACAGCTGGGATGGGTCTTTCAGTCCTTTGTGCAGAGCTTCTGTTTGTAGCAAAGTCTCTCCAGAGGTAAGAAACAGGATTGAAGACAAGATGGAGATGAGGCATCAGCCTTTTATAGTCTTTTCCAGGTGTAAGAACACCTCTTTGTTTTTACTGTGGAAAATTACAGCAAAATGGAGTTTGGAGTCACAGGGGCAAGCCCTGCATACTTTGCTGAGTTACAAGGTGTATCTGGTTTCAGAGTGGTAGCCGTGTTAGTCTGTATCAGCAGAATTGTATCTGCCTTCTCTCAATGGGTCAGTTGTGTAGCTGATGGTCCTTAATGGGCCATCAAGCAGGCTAGGCAGAGCTGTCACCAACTTGTCTAGGGTGTCACCCAGAAGCATAGCATAAGTTTGAAATACAGACAGTATAAAGCCAATATTCATAACTTTAACTACAAAAATGATACACACATATAGACAGCATAATCATAACCTCTCTATAGATCCCTTAAACGACAATCTTTATACAGTATTTGCAGCAAATATATAACAGTGGTCGCAACAGTGATCTAGACAGTTACAGATTATGTCAATAACGTCACATCAGCTCAAACTAATATTTGTTCCTGCCTTTTCTGGCTAGCGAAAGAACCACAGTAGAGGGTCACTGGGCTGGATTCATCACTGCAGTGACCCCACAGATGTCACGGGAGTAACACTGTGGCTAACTTTGGCCCATTATATTTACAAGCCAGAACAAGCCACTGTTCCCATCGCCCATTCAGGGTATGTCTATACTGTGACAAAGCCCACAGCACGGAGTCTCAGAACCTGGGCTCCAGCCCGAGCCTGAACATCTACCCTGCAATTTTATAGCCCTGCAGCTCGAGCCCTGCACGCATGAGTCAGCTGACCTTGCCCAACTATGGCCGTGCTGCAGGTCTTTTATTGCAGTGTAGACGTTTTCTGTCTACTTGGGCTGAAACAACAGGGCAAGTACAGTGCCCGAAGCTAAAAAATTCTAGAGGAAGGGGAACCCAAGTGCACACAGTTTTATTCCACTCTGTGCCGTCTGCATACTGAATAGCATCACTGCATCCCAACACAATGTCCAGCATTTGCCATATGAAACCTTATGGGACCCCTGGATCCCCTACAGCTGGGGGGATTAGAGGCCAGGTCTGTGAAGCTCTCCTCTCTCACGCTCTGAGGATGTCTGCACTTGAAGCTGGAGCTGCAATTCCCAGCTCGAGGAGACATACCCCATCGAGCCAGCACATTAAAAATAGAGCGCAGCCATGAGGAGCAAGGGGTGGGAGGGGCTAACCACCCTATCTACCTAGTGTTTTGGAATTTACACCTCCAGCTTGGAATGTAGACATACAATAGTTAGTGGACAGAGGTGTGACATTGCACCCCATAATGCTTTATGGAAATATGCTTATGAATGTAAATATGACATAACTGGAATATGTTTTATGCTACATATGCCATGTAACATATCGCTGCAAAGGTTATGATCTACTAAATATATTCATCCTATTTGTATGAATGTATCATTTTTGCATTCAAAGTTATGAATATTAGATGTGTACTTGTTTGCTTTTAAGTAGCCATAGTAAGGCATTTGGGCGGCTTTTTTAGAAAGGAATGTGCAAGTTCAGTGCCCAGTCAAGAAACACTTAACTGACAATGGATCTTGGAAGGCTCCAATCCACATAAGAAGTCTACCTGAGGACGTTCAAGGTAGCATGTGAACAATGGCTGCTACCTGTAAGTTCTGAGTCATGCATGGACATGTGACTTGCCCATGTGACTCCAAAAATCCATCTTGTAGCTGGGATTCTACACAGGGGGAGGGAGGGCTGTCCACCCACAAGAGAAAGTCTATTTAACCCCCTGGGAGACCCCTCCATTTAGTCTTCAGCTGGCTCAAGAGATTGTCTCTCCAGCCCCAAAGGATACCAGAAAGAAAGTGGAACAAAAAGACTGTAACCATGGGGGTGTGAGTGATTGCTGGACTCAGACTAGAAGCAGGCTAGTCTGTAAAAGAAGCTTACTTGAACATCTCTGAGGGTGAGGTTTCATCTGTAATCACTTTCTTACTGTATTAGGCCAAAGGCTTGCATGTTTTATTTTATTTTGCTTGGTAATTCACTTTGTTCTGTCTGTTATTACTTGGAACCACTTAAATCCTACTTTTTGTATTTAATAAAATCACTTTTTACTTATTAATTAACCCAGAGTATGTATTAATACTGGGGGGGAGGGGGCCAACAGCTGTGCATATCTCTCTATCAGTGTTATAGAGGGTGAACAATTTTTGAGTTTACCCTGTATAAGCTTTATACAGGCTAAAACGAATTTATTTGGGTTTGGACCCCATTGGGAGTTGGGCATCTGCATGTTGGAGACAGAAACACTTCTTAAGCTGTTTTCAGGTGAGCCTGCAGTTTGTGGGACGTTGTTCAGACCTGGGTCTGTGTTTGTAGCCAGCAAGCGAGTCTGGCACAACCAGGCAGGGTTCTGGAGTCCCAGATTGGCAGGGAAAGCAGGGGAAGAAGTAGTCTTGGCACATCAGATGGCAGCCTCAAGGGGGTTTTCTGTGATCCAACCTGTCACAAGAGGTAATATTACTACTGGCTTGTCTACTCCTCAGTCCTATTCCTGGACTTCACCACCGTGCAGCATTCAGGAAAGGCAGGATCACTCACTCTCCTTTGCTTCTGCTGTTTCCACTCTGTGGTGAGATTCATAGCTCTGATCAAAGGCAGCTGATAAAGCTAAGAACCGTGCCCTGGTGAGCTGGGAAACAGGACACGTGCAGTGCTTTGTGCCCAGGCTCACTCCATCATACTGCTGGGGAAGGAGAAACAAAAGGAGGAACAGATGAACCGAATGGGTGACTCTGCAGAGCCTGGAAAAGCCTGTGTAGTCTGCCATGCTCCGGGACCTGTTCCATATCTTCCTTCTACACTCCCCCCCACGCACCCAATCTGTGACCCAGCATGTCCCATCCAGTCTTGCAGATGGGCCCCGGGTCAGTAACACCATCAGCTAATGTGCTCCGTACGCTCCCCTTTGCCCATATCATCTACTGTCTGCTCAGCCTTTCCCCTGCTTCTGCGCAGTGGCTTGGTAGTTTCAGTGTCCACGCTGTCATAACGCCATAAACCATTGGGGCACACAGCTTGTACCCAAAGCACTACTCAAACTTACCGTGTGCTGTATTGTATTCACCACATATCCCCTAGACATTAATCCCTTGCCCACAGGCTATTTACTTCCTATTGGTCTAGGCTGAACTGTATTTTTCATATGCTGCTTAATCCTCCAAACAGCCCAAATCCTTTGGAATCCGAGAGTACTGTCTGTCCCTCATTATGTGCTTTGTCACCAAGTTTAGCATTACCTCCAGGCCTTGTTTTTAATACCTCCCTAGCCTCCCATTTCCAGCACGAACAATTTGTCTCTCTGGTTTTCCTCTGCCCTCTGCTTGTAAAACAGTTTTCTCCCCAAACCAGCACCCTCCCCCATCACCTCAGCTGCTGATCTCATTTACCTGCCACACGCTTGTGGAAATTCTAAGTATACAAGATTCACCAAATTGAGTTTATAACCTCACAGCAGGTGTATCTTGGAAGCCACTGGGAGGTGTAGTTCCCAGCTTGGGTAGACTTATACACACTAGGCGCTCTCGTGAACAGGGCTAAAAATACCCCTGTGTCTGCAGTGGCGCCGGCAGTAGTTTGGGCCAGCGGCCAGAGTACAATCCTGCTCAGCTTCCTGGGTATGTAGTCAGGTGGCTAGCCCAGCCCACCATCGGGCCGCCTTGGCCACGCAGCTATTTTTAGGTGCTAGCTAGAGCAAAGGTAGAGCATGTACATCTATCTGAGATGGGAATGACATCTCCCAGCGGCTGTGTAGACATATCCCTGGGGTCCTGGCCCTCCCATCTCTAACCACCAACCAGCATTCCCTCCTTTTAGACAGTGTGTTAAATGTCCATTAAAGATTAACCGATTTTGTTCTTCTCATTTTGTGGGTGGGTGTTACCAGGACTTGGTGCTTTGGCCACTTTTAATGAAGCGAACCTGCTTAGAACCAGCTCGGGTGTTTGTTCACTGCTTAGCTTGCCAGTTATTGACTTGGAAACCAGATCCCTGAGGAAGCTCTCCTCTGCTGCCTCCTTAAAGATGGAACAAAGTAAGCACTGAACAACTCATCTCCCAGTATAAACTCTGCACTCATTTTCAAGAGGCCCAATGGGCTTCTTTTGAACCTTTAGTGGGTGCATGGCTAGCTGAGCAGTAGGTCAGTACCTGCAAATTAGATCTGTATCCACCACCAGCTGTTGAAATACAAACTGAACAAAAGGGTGATTCTTCATGGCAGCCGAGCCGTCGTACAGGAGCTGTGGAGCACCAATGAATCAGTAGGGAACACATTCAATCAAGCTTGCATAGAAAGCCCTCAGAGCTAAACACAGCCCAGACTTAGTGTCCCCAGAGCTCTGCACACACCACCGATAAAAACCAGCTTCAAGAGCATGCTGTGTATTGGCTATTTCCATAACATTCAGAGAAGCAGCCGGTCTAGTGGTTAGATCAAGGGACCTGGGAGTCAGGACTCCTGAGTTCCATGCTGAGTTCTGTCACTGGCTCCCTGTGTGACCTTGCCCAAGTAACATCACCTCCCTGTGCTTGTTTCCCTTCTATGACACCGGGCTGGTAATAATCCCTGCCCAGCTCAGAAGGCACTCCTGAGGTTTGCTATACAGAAGCGTAGTGTCAATTGGGATATAATTGAGGTCACCTCCGTGACCCTCCCAGCCTCACAACATGGGATCTCTTCAGTTTAGCATCACTCACAGGATATCTCTCTGCTTTGAGAACATCAGCACAGGGCCACTTCGGTTTGGCATTACTCAACACAGTATCCTGGGGCCTGGGCATCTCAGTTTTGTGTCACTCATCTATGATTCTTCCGCCCACCTCAGATTATAGGCACAGGGCTAGTTAAGCTTGGCATTATCTACCAAAAAACCCCAGGAAGCCTAGCACAATAATTCTGCAGGTGCATAGAGCCGGTCATCCCAGCATCTCATAACACAAGCCCTAAGAAATTAAATCCTCCCCAGAAAGGGCCACCCTAGCTGGGTATCACCCATCTGTGACCTCTCACCCCTGCCGACACAGAGAAAAGAAAATGCCCAAGACCTTAAATTGGATTGAAAGCTGCTCGCCCCTGTACAGCCTCTCTCTTTCTCCACCCTTCAGCCAGTCTTCTCATTCTCCCTGCAAGGTTGCTGCTTTACAGCCTGCCGGGGCCTTTGTACCAATACAGAAGTTAATATTTCATCTTGAGACTAGGGGAAATTGAGTTAGCCTTGAAATGCCAAAGGTAGGTTTAAAATATTCCCTGGTTGGCTCATAAAGGCTCCTATTAGGAATGTACCTTCTGATAAGGAAATGGCTCTGTACCTGGAATAACAGCTCAGGTGGCTATTTGTGAAAATCAGTGTCATTTGCATATCTCTATCATTTTCATCTGGCTGCTCCAGTCTCTGTTTTTATGGAGACTAATCTGGTTACTCAATCAGCTACAGGGAGCGGCAAAGTGCAAACTGTCCCAGCTCAAGGCAGCTTCCCAGCAGGAGGAAATCAGGTCACGGTAAATGGACTTGCTTGTTCCTATTACACAGGGATCTCGTCTCTGCTCCCCAGCAGATTTATACGGAGATCAAATAATAAGGATGGAATGAATAATTAAATCTCCCTGTAAATAATTAAGCACAACCTGTTCATTTACCTAGCAGCGTTCATTCAGGAGAACCCAAAGGACTCTACTGAGTATTAGGCAGTGGAAGCTGGAGAGCTAAGCACAGAACAGGGAGTCAGGAAGTCCCAGCTTCTAATCCTGGCTCTTCTGCTGACTTGCTGCATGCCCTTGGCCCAAGTCACTCTGCCTCAGTTTCTCCATCAATAACTTTGGATTGATAGTAACACCTGCCTGCCTCGTGAAGAAATATTTGTACAGCGCTTTGAACATGTAAAGCACTACATATGTTGGGAGTATTATCTCACAGAACCACTCAGCATCCAAATGCAGCCACCTTTGGGCTGTGGATGTATCCAGTGGACGCCACAGCAGGATTTTTAGAGAAGAAGAATGTAATCAGCCAGATAGGAATCCTGCAAGAAATCTAGGACTGAATACCCCTGCTCTTGCTCAAAACGCCAGAGCACCTTTAATGACCCTTGTGACCCGTGTCTTAGTATCTTACCTTATCTGAACGAATGTGCTTCCAGCAGCACCAGCACCGCTGGGAGCCACCAGTTTTCTACTGAATCAGAGTGACCACCATCATGCCATGCAGCATATAGGTTTCCCGTGGGGGTCTTCCAGCAAAGTACTAACCAGGCCCAGGCCTGTTTAGCTTACAAAATCACAGATGATTACACATCAAGAGGAACAACCTAGCAGCAAGGCCCTGTGCTACAAGTACTGCAGGCAATTCCTCCAGCTGCGGGGATGCTCTCCAGTTAAGGAGAAGGGACGTGTTTGACCTCTGTCAACTTCACATCTGTCAATCACCACCGTCACCAAAAATACAATCTGACAGCCCATCCGGCCAGTAATGTAATTCCATGTGGCCATTGTCCTTTCAGTCCAATAGATTTTCTACTGAGTTACTGCCACTGGGAAACAAAGAAACAATCCAAGTAGATATCAACTGGCAATTCTGTCCGTACTGCTCACTCACCACAAGCGGGGTATGCTCCAGGGGCATCACTGACCGTGCTGATTCTAAACCCAGCCCAAACCTGGGTTCCTTTGTAGTTCTGTGGCACTCTCAAAACTCAGCCCAGATCAATGAATGTGGAATGAACTTGGGCTGATGCTGCTCACACAACCCCACAGCCGCTCCCATTCTCCAAGCACCAGTTGCCCCAGCCAACCCCTGCCACTTACATTTTTTTCTCTTTCGTGGGGCCCTATTAGCTAGATCCCTCATCCCTGCTCATTCCTTGGCCTTTGGGTCCCCCTCACTGTTTGTCAGGGGTGCGGGATAGCTGCTCCCTACATCTTGAGGTTTCTGGGGTGCTGCCAGGTAAACATCACTGCCCTGCCAAACAAGCTCAATAGACTGAAGCAAGTTATTCTGTGTCTCGGTTTTGGGGCCTGGTGGGTGCATGGTAAAAAGTGAAAGTGAAATTGGGACTGGTTGGGGTTCATTCTGCAAAACCTCATCAGCTGGGGTTTTGTTTCACACCCCCCCAAACCAGGAATGCTGTAAAAATTCCAGTGTTTTTTGGGGAGGTCAGAGAAATGATTCCAGTTCGGGCTCAGATAAGGAGGGATAGAACCAAAGATCGCTTTGATTCTGTTATGGCAAAATGTCTTTGGTAGGGGGTTTAGTTTTGGGGCCAGATCAGGATCCTATTTTCACTAAAGCACAGGGGGAGAGGTGGCCATCGGAATGAGAAGAGAACTGCAGGAAGTGGCCTAGAAAAGAAGGACCCCCCCCCAAGCCTCACCCCCAACCCACTGCCCTGCTTTTGAAAGGCCTGCTGCAGGTTTTATTCCCCATGTAATTGCTGTATATTGCCAAAGAGCTGTCGCTGTTTATCAACCATGTAACCTTCCAAGGCCAATCCATACAGCTGACACCGCAGGCCCATGCACTACTGGCAGGGCATTGAGGTTTTATGGCTAAAACTTTCCTGGGTAAGGCCTAGAACAAGCAAAGGTTTCGGAACTTTTTCTCCCAGGCCCGTCAAGTTCAGTGATGAGCGTCTAACCCCTTCACTGAGCGAAGGCTGCCCGCATTCCTGCCTCCCTCATGGGACCCTTACACAACTGCCATCTCTTTAGTTAATGAGCAGTGCTTGAGAAATTTCCACTGCCGGGGGCCCTGGGAAGCTCACGGTTGAGCTCAGCCTCTGCCTCTTGTGTGCTGGCGTGGGATTGGTCTGAGGATTAGCGCAGCACAATGGAATATTTTTTTTGCTGCTCAAGAAGTTAATAAATGAAATTCTATTGTGGCAGCGGAAGAAATAAAAGAGAGCCGGAGGACACAGGGAAATCACACTGCTGCCTATTTGCATTGAGGAGAGAGCAGACTGGTTTGATCAGGCTGTGCTCTTCTCAGCACCTACCAGCGAAGCAGGCTCAGGTTCGCTCAGCCCTTGGGCGTGAGGCTGCTCTGAGAAGCCCAGGGGGTTACAAAAGTGACGCTGGCTACTCAGTAAGTTGCAGTCGTCCCTTGCGTCAATAGTGAAGCAATGCCCCAGGTTGCTGTGGGCAGGTCATTTGCCAGGTGGCAGTTTTCCCTCTAAATAAATCCAGCATGAGCAGCCCTGCAGGATGCTGGGGTGTTGCTGAGTACTGACACGGTGGGTAAAAACACCTGCACCATGTCTACCTTAGGCCTTCAGTAGCTATGCTGGAGCTAGTGCAACAGTCAGAGATTTCCTACATCAAGTGCTTTTGCAAGCACTGGGTTTGTGGAAGCTAGAAATGCCAGATTATTAGGAATGCAGCTCTTGCTGGTGCTTGAAAATATATGTTGGAACAAAGGTGTTTGCATGGGGTGCCCAAGTGAGCGTCTTAAAGGAGGAACCAGAAAGCTTATAGATTTGGGGCCAGATCCTCAGCTGGTGTGAACTGGTGCAGTTCCAGTGAAGTAATGGCACTCTGCTGATTTACACTAGCTGACGATCTGGCCCTTGGGCTATCATGGCAGACAGAGTTTGGAGGTTAATACTTGCTGGGTACCCTCCAGTGCCCGGCTGCAGCTGGTTTGTGCTGCCATTTTTACTTGTGTTTGATGTGCGAGAAAATCCACTTTACATGCACCGGTAGCCTGGCTGTCTGTCAGTTCTATTCTGTATGCAATGGTGAGTGAATATTTAACCACTGGAGGAACATTTCCTTCCAGGGATGGAAGCTGCCAAGTTAATCAGTTTCCAGAATACAGTAAAGACACAGATTACAGGAGGATAAAAGTTCAAAACCTTGAGGATGTTCAAAGTCTTCCACCACCGCGTCTGGAGCAGTGATGGGTATGACAGTTGAATGCTAAAAGAAGGCACAAGTCACTGCTATAGAAATGATGACGATTGACTCTCCCAACGGTACATGTCAGAGAATGGAGGGACAGGAAGAGGCCTCACCTGATAGCCAGTTCAAAAGTCCTCCCTACCACCCTCACTGGTCACTCACCACATCCCACTGGATCCCCATGACAACCAGTGAGGTTCTTCTGACCCCATGTCACATACAGTGAGGGTTATTAGCCACTGGGACAGTTTGCCAAGGGTCAGGGTGGATTCTCCATCACTCATCAATAGTAGAGAAGGAATTATTTGGGGGAAGTTCTATGGCCTCTGTTCTGCAGGAGGTCAGACTAGATGATCACAATGGTCCCTTCTGGCCTTGGGATCTATGAATCCTGGAGAGATTCATTCTTTGGTTCCTCACCAGGACTTTGGACAGTCTAAAGTAGAGAGAGATGCTGAAGAAGCAACAACCTGGGACAGGGCATTTTGACAGCACTTAGCCAGTTCTGTGTAGGCATCCAGCCAGGCAGTTCTTTACCTTAATATATATTCAAGATCTCCTATAGTCACTGAGATCCTTGGGCAGAAAGTATGATTGGCTTCAGATCTCTTTGCATGTGTGGGGGTGTTCGATTTCTTTTGTTACACAGTCGCATATTTATTATTTAGATCCAATATTATTAAATTGTCTGGATCTTTCTTTAGCTCACAGAGCTGATCTGATGTGAAAAGTGGATGGGAATCTGGGAGGCAGTGACCATGAGTTGGTTGAGTTCAGGATCCTGACACAGGGAAGAAAGGTAAGCAGCAGGATATGGACCCTGGACTTCAGGAACGCAGACTTCGACTCCCTCAGGGAACGGATGGGTAGGATCCCCTGGGGGACTAACATGAAGGGGAAAGGAGTCCAGGAGAGCTGGCTGTATTTCAAGGAATCCCTATTGAGGTTACAGGGACAAACCATCCCGATGAGTCGAAAGAATAGTAAATGTGGCAGGCGACCAGCTTGGCTTAACGGTGAAATCCTAGCGGATCTTAAACATAAAAAAGAAGCTTACAAGAAGTGGAAGGTTGGACATATGACCAGGGAAGAGTATAAAAATATTGCTCGGGCATGTAGGAATGAAATCAGGAGGGCCAAATTGCACCTGGAGCTGCAGCTAGCAAGAGATGTCAAGAGTAACAAGAAGGGTTTCTTCAGGTATGTTGGCAACAAGAAGAAAGCCAAGGAAAGTGTGGGCCCCTTA